GGCCCCGCGGGGCGCAGCAGGCGCTGACCTGGGCATGCCCGTCGGCTGCGCTGGCCCGTCGGCAGCGGCCGGCGCCCTGGGAGGGTGCGGAGCGTGAATCGCCGCCTGCGCCCCGGCGCTCTGGGTACTCAGTAAGCAGAGGGTTTGCACCTGCTAAGCATAATCCCTGCTCCAGGTGATTTACGTGCACGGACAACAAAATTTCCAACGTGCATGCGATCTGTAGTGATGAATCATTTCTGTATTCCCAGTTGTTTCAAACTTTCTGTGCCAACCAAAAAGCGATGAGCTGCAGGGAAGCTGTTGTAACATGTATTTGTCTCTGTGGACATACACAGCAGTCAGAGCCGGCAGCACAGAAAAATTTGTCTGCCTTAATATGTTTTTATTCTGAACATTTTAACATTTCAATGGTTTTCCTTTTGCTGTGTCTGTTCTCACGTCCACGTCCTTGGTTTGTCTTTTGAAGTCTCAACGCCGCATGAACCGGAGCGCTGTGTGTGGAGACTTTAATTTTGAATATACACTGTGCCACAAAGGAAAGGCAAAAAAACCAACCCCAAAACAAAAAACCTCCCCAAACCAGCAACCCTAGGGCATTAACGGTGTTTCTCTGAGCGTTTACCCCCGGGAAAGACAAAACAAGGCTTTACAAGAGAGCCGTTCACTGTTTGAAGTAGCTGGTTCAGTTCCCTCCGAGTGCTGGGCAGTCCGGAGAAGGGCCAAGGAGGAGCATGACGCCCGCAGCCTGCTTACTCGCTGCTGGCGAATTCCTCACCCACCGTGTTAGGAAGAATAACATCCTTCAGTAAAAGCCCGATTCACACTATTTACATGTGTGCAGGCAGCTGCAGGGACTATTTCTGTCTCAGCCCATCCAGGATGTTCTCATCCTGGAGGAAACGTAAGGTCGCCTTCTTCCTGTGACCTTTTTCTGTTGATGTTCCAGGCTGAAAAAATCAAAAAGAAGCGAAACACCCTGTTTGGAACATTTCATGTTGCTCACAGCTCATCTCTAGATGATGTTGATCATAAAATCTTAACTGCAAAGTGAGTATCTACTTAATATCTTCCCTTATTTCTGCCTGCCTCTTTCACCCCTCATGTGTTACGGACGTGAGCGTCCCGCAGCCCGTACGGGTGCTCTTGGTCTCATTTTGCTGAACTTTTGCTCTGTTGACTTGAGTTAGCTGGGATTGGACTTGCTCCTTTTAATCAGTAACCTTTTAATTTTATCTGTGCGAAACAAGAAATCGCAGTTATGCAGAGCGATTAGAAGTCCTGTCAAAATGAGGGTCTGGGAGGCTGCAGTGTTCTTAAGCGATTATCCCTGGTTATTTCAGTCATTGCTGATTTTTTTTAATTCCTGTATTCCTGAAAATGGAATGAAAGATGTCTGAAGTATTAGGATAGAAAGCTGACCCACCAGAGTCCCAGTTTCAGACGATGTATAGCGTGGGCTTCCTTCATTCCCTACATTTTCCCTTGTTTGAACCTTGCTTCCAGGCAAGCGCTGAGCGAAGTGACAGCTGCGCTGCGGGAGCGCCTGCATCGCTGGCAGCAGATAGAGCTGCTCTGCGGCTTCCAGATCGTCAACAACCCGGGCATCCACACCCTGGCATCAGCCCTTAACATCGACCCCAGCTGGATGGGCACCCCGCGGCCTAACCCCTCGCACTTCATCATGACTGATGACGTGGACGATTTGGACGAAGAGATCGTGTCTCCCATGTCCATGCAATGTACGTAGCCCGCGATAGCTGCGCGTGGTGAGTCTGCGTCTGCCGTGCTGCCCGGTGCTGCAGCATGGGGCAGACCTGGAAGAGTAGTTCAAATGTGTTAGGTATTAAGGTATCCAAGTTGGTTTTTAAATGACCAAAGACAAATTGTTAGTCGTTAAGGGTCAGCAATGTCCATAAGTGCCAACCACCACTGCTGGGGGTTGCTTGGAGCCTGGTAATTCCAGCAGAACGAGTCATTTGTAGATGTTACTAGTCATCATTTAATCATATGTATGCTATTCTGTTGAACTCGCTGAATTTAAGCATTTACAAAAACAAACAAACAAACAAAAAAAACCCACCAAAAACCAAAGGCACGGGCTAGACTCACAAAAGTGAGAAGGAAAGTGAAGTGGATCGTCCTGAGCTAGAGCACTTGTTTGGGATACAAAAGGACTTGAAGGCACCCCCTCCTCATGCACAGCTTTGGATTTGCACCTCTTGCCGCTCTGTATGGGGAGGAGCAGCCTGCTGCGGTGACGCTGCCTGCCTGTAACAGCCTGGTAAACATTTCCTGGAGCAGAGACTGAAGCCCCAAGGCCCCGTCTCCTCTGCCGGGGCTGTAGTCACCAAGGTGGGTGTTCTCCCCCTCTTTACCGGCAACCATTCCTATACAAAGTGCATCAGCTCCCGTAGGGAGGAGTGGGGCTGCTGGAGAGGGAGGCGGCTGATCCTGCTCTCATGAGCCCAGATCTCTCGGAGGAAGGGGTTGAACTTGGGTCACCCTGTGCCTGTTACTCTCTCAATTGCTGAGCTCTTGGATTAAGCGAAGGCTGTCTCCTCCTCTGCGAAAGGTTTGTGAATCAGTCCTGACTACTGTTCCCATGTTCAACTGACCCAGATTCGGCCTTGCTTTTCTCAAAAATGCGTTTTCCAAATACAGTTTCCTATCTCTAGCTGTTGCACAAGAGAACGGGAGGCCTGAAGAGCAGTTCCAGCCGCTCCGCGACAGCGGTCTCCCTGGCGCAGGCAGCAGCACATGGCTAGAGCAGAGCTTTCTGAGCTCCAGCTGGGAGAGGGGAGCCAGTGCTGACGGCGCTAGCTGCAGCAGTCTTCTTGGTTATGTCTGATTCGGGTTGCTTTCTAGAGAGGACTTCATCAAAAGTCTGTTTAACTGAGTAGGAGGTGGGGAAGAGGAACAGAAGAGTCTCGGGGCTGGCAGTGTGTGCTGCAGGAGATGCCCAAACGTGCCATCGCCATCCCTGCCCCGTGGTTTCAGGCTCTGGTTAGGTGCTGTGAAGGTCTGGAGGCAAGTGCTGAGGTCGGGCTCAGGGCGAGGGAGGCAGAGCACCGAGGACTTGGGTAGCCTGCAGGGTGCTGAAGGCAGGAGGAACGGGGTATTTGCATGCTTCCAGGGCTCAGCAGACATGGGGGTTGGAGCTGGTGGTTTATGGGGTTGGGTGTGCATAGGGAAAGTTTAAAGCATCAAATAGATAACGGTGTCCTACTTACTAGTCTCTGTGATTATCAGTTACCATTAGAAACCAAGCTAGACGGCTCTAATGAAACACTTGCAAAGATGCAAGCTAGGTATTAATGAGAGAGGGGTGTCTGAAGTCCCCGAGGAACACCTGAAGCACGCTCTCCGGAGGATGCGAGCTGTATAAGGCACGAGCCTTCATCCCAGATTTTAAGCCTCAGCTTCTTTGTGCCTTGCTTGAGACCCCTCGAGCGAGATTTTTGCACATGCCGTTCCCATCAGTCCGGCGATGGGCGGCGAGCCTGCCTGCCTGCCTCCATGCCACAGCGCTGATCTGCCTCCCTGCGGGTGATAGCTCCCTGTAGCAAGCGCTGGGCACCCAGGTGCCCAAAGCAAGGGACCGTTTGCCTTTCCCTAGAGATTTTTCTTTCTTTGTGTACAAAAACGGCTTCAGGAGAGAAGCGCAGAGTTTCTCCTCCCCAGATGCGCTGGGGATGTTGCTGACTGCCCGTGATGATTCTCCCGGTAAATCACATTTTTCTCTCTCCCGTTCACACCCGGTTGGCCCATCCCAGATGCAGCCTGGCTTTTTGGGCGCAGGTTCAGTGACCGCTCGTCTCTGTCCTCGGAGGATCAGTCCCTCTGGAAATACCCTGGTTTGATTCTCTTCAATTATATTTTAATTTTTTGTTCTACCCTCTGCCCTTTTTCTGGACTAAAATACATACACAAATTTTCCAACTTTCTGGCACAGAAAACTAATGAATGTACCTCTCTTCACTGAGTCGTCAGCATCTTTACTAACCCCCGGGAAGAGTCTGGTGGGATGAAGAAGAATCACAGTTCGCTGTAGTTCTCACGTACTCTTGGGTTTTGCTTTTTTAAAAAAAATGCAGTTATGAAATCTGGAAGGTTGTTTTTACTTGTTTTTACCCCTGAGGTGGAGATAAGGATTCAGGCTAGGCCAGGCAGAGGTGATAACCTTCCCTTTCCCATCCCACCTCCTTCTCTCTTTGCTCGCAGCCCCTCCGCTGCCGGCCGAGGCTGACCCCGATCCTCCCCCCTGTGCCTTTCTTCCCTCGGCACCCTTAAATAAACTGAGCGGTGCCACCTATTACGCTAATCTGTCCCCCGGTGCTCTGATGACGGGGTCTTGGGGACAGCACGCTCAGCCCCAGGGACGCCGAGCCTCCTGCTCTCGGCTGGAAGCCTTCCCTTCGCGGAGCGCTGCCCAACGCCGGCCATCGTGGGCCGGAGGAGGACGAGCGTGTGCCGCAGCAGGCCAGGCTGTGCGCCGGCGTTGGTCAGGGCTTGCACGGTGGTGGTCTTCCTCAAGGTGACGAGCAGGTGATCTGGCTAATGCTGAAAAAACGTGCAGTGTCTGGAGTGAAACGATATTTGTGGGAAGTGAGGGTCCGCTGGCGCTGTGCAAGGTGAGGCCTCAGCCTTTGGTCCTGTGCTTATCGCAGGGTAAATCATGCAAAAGGAGAGCGCAGAGGTGTAAGGTGTCAGGTCGGTAAATGAGGAGTGGAACACCACTTAAAAAAAAAGCGAACCCCTTAGGGAAAAAAGCGTGGCCCGAGAGAAAAAGAAACCTGTAGCAGAACCCCATAACCCCCAGTCAGTTATTCTGCAGAGCCGGGGTCCCCGTTAGCCCCCAAACTGAGACTCCTCTTCTAAACCGCATCCCCGCCAGCAGCAGGCAGGGATCAGCGGTGCTGTTCCCATTCCGGTCCATGCTGCCTTAGTTAGCGGCGTTGCTGCTGCAGAGGCACAGCGGGAGAGCGGGAGCAGCCTCCGGGTCTGCCCATCAACACTCTCCCCCTCGCTGCCTCTGATCAGTTTTTTGCAGTCCCCACTGGAGCAAGGGATTTTTTCCCACCCTGTCTCCGTGTGACTCGATTTCGCTTAATTTCAGCTCTGGAGCTGCTAAGAGAGAAAAAATCTTGAAATAGAAAGTGGATGGTGTAACGAGCTCCAGCGAAAGGTTTGTAGATGGGCGGTGTAGTCAAGCAAGAAGCAGCAAACCTGAGCGGTGGGACCCTGTGAGAGAAACTGTGATGGACCTCGGGGATGTGGAAACAGCAAAGTTGCCTGAGTTATTCTTGCTTGTTCCTTCTTCCACTTGAAATCCATCCCAGCAGTGATCCTTCAGTACCCGAGTTGTTGATGAGCTGCAGAGATTCGTGTTTCCTAGTTGTGTGTTTTTATAGCAGCGATTTGCTGGTTCTTCGATTCCCGAAGGAGCTCTCCTTCTCCATTTCTTACCTTTCCTCTCTGTCCACCTTTTTAACTATTTTTACATTCATTTCTTATGCATATAAGAAATCCTGAACAGTCCTGAACACCTTATCTCCTGCAAAAGAAGGAACATCTTGTATGGAAATTACAGCTGGTGGATTAAATACAGCCAGCCTGGCTGGCTGCCGGAGGGCGATGCAGCCCAGTGCATCCTTAGTTTGCCACGGGTAACGCTCTGCCCGATCGAAAGGAGCGTGCAGAAATCTCCGTGCAGGCGAAGGTGCCTCCCTCCGCCTCTCCGAAGGCGACCCTCCGGCCCCAGCTCCGGCTGTAGCTGTGGGGCAGAGATAGCGTAGGCTCGGTGTGGAGGCAGCTGGCTGAGCTCTCTGGCCTCTGCTACCTGACAGGTAAGGCTACGTGGCCAGAAAGAGCCTTATGATTTGTAAAAGCTGTTAATTAGCTGCTGAGAGTGCACTGAAGGAGGCAGTCCAATTCGTTTCTCCAAACCAAGATGAATTTGCAATTAGAGGAAAATATTTTTCAAATTGACCGTCTCTTGGAGCAGTCAGCTAATTACCAAACCGACTGGTAACAGATGATACCACTTCTGGGCCAGAGCTGTAATTTCAGGCACGGACTGATGACGAAAGCCTGTGCCTACCCAATCAATATCACAGTTACTACCCGTCTGCCGCAGTTACTACACGTCTGCCACGTGTCCCAGCCGTTCTGCCCTGCAGAAGGCTACAAGGCTGGGAGGTTTCTGCGTCTTCATAGAAGCTTTCCTGCGCCTGAACACAGAGTGCAGCTGTACCTCCCTGCTTTCAGTCCCGCGCTCCTGCGCCTTGCTCCAGGAGTTGCACTGGGACGACGATGCTGGAAGCGGGAGCGGAGCTGAGCTCTGGGAGTGGAGCTCACCTCGCCGGCTTTAGGTGCCTACGTCTGAACGGATCACCAGAGGCTCCTTTTTTAGGCTGTGTAGTGAAATAGTACTACCAAGGCATGAAGCGTCTGAGCGATTTGGATGTCTGTGTCAGGATGAAATGAATCATGCCCTGAAAGTACTGGCTTCTTCACATTTACTATAAAGGGAGCCTGGGTGGTAGCTCTGATGTAAGGCTGGGTAGGATGAATCATGCAGCCAGTTTCTGCTTCAAGCGAGATGATCAGATAAGGTGTTCAGAAAGCACCTATACCAGGAATGTCAAGCGTAGTTTTTCATGGGCTGGGCATTAATCTAGCATGTTAAGCCGTAGCACCAGCTTAATGCTGCTTCTGCATTAAACCGGCGTAACTTATAGCACAAGGCGGGATGGCTGCAGTGGCCCGAGCAAGCGTCCCGGTGACAGAAGGCATGGTGCTGCGGTGGCATAGCCCTGGCGTGGGTGGCAGCTTTATCGCGGTGCCTCCTGGCTGTTTGGATGTGCGGTCTCTTCCCAGCTGCCTTCAGCGTTCTCCCCTTTCTCTCATTACAGCTCCTGCCTTGCCCAGCACAGTTCGCCAGCGCCTGGTGGACCCACAGCACGCCCACGGATCTCAGAGGTTGGTAGAGAGTTATGTGCAAGGCCAGAATGAGTCGGGCCAACCTGCCCATTACCGGGCAGGCAGAGTCTCTCTCCGTCGAATGCACAGCCTCTCCTCTGGACAATCTTTCAGTTCCGACCTTCCCGGCACCAGCCCATCATCTGCTGCCACCACCACCTCTTCCACCTCTTGCTCCTCATCCACCACCACTGCATCTGCTCCTGCTTGCCATGTCCACCCTATCTGTTGCCACCACACCACCTCCTCTTATTTCCTTCAGATGGACTCCGTCCCTGATCTGCCCCCTCCTGATGTCACCTCTGGAGTTCGCTGTCGCACTGAGAGCTTTGGGTATATTGCTGTTTCTTTTCTAGCTCCCTCTTGCCTGCTGTGTCTCAGAGCTGATGCTTGCTCGCGTGCTCTTTCTCCTAGATTCCTTGTGCCCTTTTCTTTTGGGCCTTTGTTTCATTTTTTATCCACACATTTGTTTCTTCAACCGCTCTCCCGTGCCAGTGGACCCTCTGAGGAGTGCTCCACGGTCCATTCCCATACCTGCCAACTCAGTGGGTGCTGTTGTTTAACTGTAGCTAAGCAAATGAGAATTCCTGGGCACTTGGTTATCGCTAAATAAGTCGATCTTTCACTGGGGTCACGCACCTGTGAGAACAAAGGTAACACAACTAATCAAACAAACACTGACCTTATTTGAAGCCTTGACTTATTTGGGGTCTTCACAAGCGAATTGCAAAGGAAACACGATGGGTAGGTACTGTCAGATAGTAGTTGATGCTGCTGGAGGGTTTGAAATCTGTGCTGTTTTTACGAGGTGGCAAAAAGCAGCATTCAGGAATTTTGTGTTTCAGAGTGGCTCTCTACCTCTGTTTCGGTAGGGGATGAGGCACGGCTGTGTCTGGCTAAGGAACATCTGGATAGTGAGGAGGGAGTCGGAGCTTTGTATTGCTGGATCGCTGGCTTTAACTTGGGCCCTTTCAGCAGTACCAGCCAGCAAGCGATGGCTCTTTGGAGGCCCATGTATGATGGGATCCAAGGGACTGGTTATCATCCACACCCCTAAATCCCTGACCTCTCCTGATTCCCCGTGCTGGCGTTAGAGAGGCAAAGGACTGGGTGGGCCTTAGATGCCAGAATCCGGTCTGGTCTAACTGGGGTGCTGCGAGGGGGCCTCCGGCAGCTGTCCCAAGGTCGGAAATGTACTGTGCCCCAAGCAGAGGATCACATTCCTGGGGCAGCCCCGGGTGGCTTTCTTCCCAACAAGGTCCACGGGCAGCAGTCCTTGGAGGCCCTCGCTCCACGTGGGTCACGGAGGCACCCAGCTCCAGAGCGCTGTTTGAGCCCGCGTCCCTTCGATGCTTGATTGAAACCCTCGGCTGCGGTGCGAGGCGGGTGGGTGGTTTGCGTGGTCTCTAGTCGAGGGGCGTTGCAGGCGCTCGGCGTGGAGACGTGGGTGCTGAAGCAGGCAGTGGAAGGGCTGTGATGGGCCATCAGGGAGTCCCGTCCTCCTGCCCTGCCAGGGAGCCGCCTGTGACCGTGGCCAAGTCATTTCATCGCTCTGTTCTGCGCTTTCTCCTTGGTGAAATTAATGATAGCCTCTTTATCCTCAGGGTTAGGTAACAGACTTCTGGGAAAAGGCTGGAAGTCTCTCAGTGAGGAAGGCGGTAGGGGCAATGTCCTTTCACGTTTATTTATTCAAGCAGGACAACATTCCAAGTCACCCCATCTTCATTCGTCCCGGCACGTTGTACCATTATTCCTTTATCTGTAGGTACCTCTGCCCTTAGGCGTAGGTTCTCTCCTGGCATCATGTACACGGTCTCTGTTTTGGATGTCTCACCCCCTCGCTAATTTGTGTGTCTCAAAGCCGGGGCGCCCGCGGGACCAGCGCATCCCTGGGCCCAGGCTGCGCGAAGCCGCACGTGTAAAGCCCCGAGCACCCCTGGCAGATCATGGGTTCCGGAGGATCGGGGCGAGGGGAGATTACTGCACCTGCTCCACGATGGACAATTAAAGAGCAACATCTTGGTTAATTTAGTAATGTTTGTTTTGGGATTACGAGAAGCAGCATAATTAAAATTTAGATTAATTACTGCCAATTTGAGCTCAGTTGCAGCTGTCCCAGTTTGACTGATAGAAGCTGGGAACGCTTCTGGTAACATCGCACAGTCCCTGTTTACCATCGACCTTCCTGCCTCTGTAGAAAGGAGGGCTTGTCCTGGGAGCTCGAAGGCTGATGTACTGTTTCAAAAATAGCTGTATAAACACGATTTTTTTTCAGCTGAGGCCTGTGATACACTGAATTGCTGACCAGGTTGAAGTCTCAGTCCTGCAGGCTCCCCTGGGAGTGGCAGAGGGAGACGTGGTGTGACTTTGGGATCCCAATGAGAAAAGGCAGCAGTGCTGAGAGGTCACGAGGAGAGAATAACGGGGGTCTCCTTATTCTCCACGGGCACTTAGTAGCTTGTCAGAACCTAATGGGTCACCCTTTGCTGGAAGGCAGGACTGTTTTCCCCCTGTTCCCATAGCAAAGAGCAGCTGTTGATGCAGGATAATTGATTTAGCAGTGGAGTTTTGCAGAGTAAGAACTTTCCACCTAAGATTTGCTTCAGCTACACAATAGCAGACGGCTCCAAAACCCATGCTCATCCATTCTCTGTTCATTTCAGAAAACAGAAATGAAGAACTGGGTGCCCAAATGTGTTCTTATTTCGTTGCTTTTAATTTTTTGTCAAACTGCATCACTAGCAGATCCTGCTTAGATGCATCTCTAAAAACACTGCCCCGAAGGCATGCCACAGCACACGCCAACGTATTGCTCTTTCTCTTTTATACGACCAGTCTTGGAGGCCTTTACATACATCCCTCGAGCTCCACAGCCTCCCAAAGAGGCAAGCAGAACAGATGGGGAAGCTGAGGCTGAGAAAGGCCTTCCAGGGAGTCATTGCCAAGGACGAAAACGGGACCCAAAAAATTCCTGGCTCCCTTGGTAGGAGGAGAGTGCTACCTTGAGGGCTTTGGGCTGCTGGATCGCTTTAGCCTCTCGTATCCAGCAGATGCCAATGTTGGCGAGACCTCCCAAGAGAAATCATCTCAAACAAGCCGTTCCCCCAGAGAAGGGCTCGGGGATCGCTCCTCTCTGTGCAAGCTGTATACGGTGCTAAAGTCTGCTGGGGGTTGACCTGGTAGGACCTTCTCTCCGGGCACGGCCAGCGCGTGGCCGGTGGTTGCTTTCATGAACTCCTCACTCTTTGCTTCTCTTTTGCAATTGGCTTCAGAGGATCCGGTGCAAATAAGGTCAGAGCTGTTCTGATTTTGAAGGCTGATGTGTGTTTTTTAATGTTAACGAAGGGGACTGGGTGTCCCTGGGGGGGAGAGGGGTTGGAGGGTGCTGTGTGCACAGAGGTTTCTGCTGCCAGTGCCTGCTTCACGTGGTACCCGTGGATAAACCTGGTGGAGATGGGAGCGTAGGACCAAATCCCCACGCTGGTGGCCCTTTTCCAGCGGGGAAGGGAGGTGGCAGCCGAAGCCAAAGGAGAGTGTCAGTAATGCAGTGAAAGGAGTAACTCACAGCTCTTACAGAACGGAAGGGAAGAAGTCACGGTTGGGTGTGCGCTGTGGAGGCTGTTTCTAAGCCCCTGACCGTGCCACGCTGAGCACAGCAGAGTAACTCAGCCGTACAGCAAATTTGGTTCTGCCTGAGGGGAAGCCTTTGCTGCCCTGGTGCCACGTGCGAGCTAGGTATAAAACGTATAGCCTTGCGGCTGTGGGCGCTCTTGGTAGAGGGCAGGGAGTGGTGGAGGCAGCAAGGTCTGTGTGAGGCTGGTAGAGCAAGCCCTGCTTTAGCATCAGACGCCCCTGAGCCGCTCCTGAGCTGCCCTACAGCCCGAGTCCCGGATCGTGCAGGCAGCCGGAGCCCAGCAGGAGAGAGCGCTCGACGGGCTGCAGAGGAGAAAGAAATATTTATTCTGTATCACCCTCCTGCCCTCTCCTCTCTTTCTCCGCCGCTTTCTTTACTCCATGCTTTGCTCTCTGCTTCTTTTGTTTGCAAAGTCAGTCCATTCCCATTTTCGCGCCCTCTCTCATTCACCGCGGTCGGTTCGGATTCTTGGAGTGGCTCGGTAGGAAGCGCGGGTGAAAGCAGATAAAACAGCAGCAACGCACGCATCCTGCCTTCACGTAGGTTAACGCCATCAGCTTCAGTCTTCGCAGATTGTAAGCGTGCCCAACTGCACCGCAAAAGCGGCGAGCCCTGCGGCAGCGCAGCTGGGATCGAGAAACGTGCTGTCTTAAGTGAGGCTGCCAGGTATTTTCATGTTCAGTTGGTGGGCTGAGGTTTTCAGGAGGGATGAACGTTCAGTAGTTCTGCTGCACCGCAGAAGCGCTTTCTCTGAAGGCACCTTCCCGTGATGCTATGGAGGCTGGCTGTGCCCTGGCGTTTCCTCTTGGAAATGTGCCGTACCCGTTCAGGAGCATAAGCCTCATGAAGATGAGCAGGATATAGGCCAGCCCTTTCTGGCTGAGCCTCACCCAAGGTGACCAGCAGTATCCTGGCAATGTTCTCTCCTCCCCTCTTGTCCTGGCGCTGGGCTCGGGAGCATCCCCTCCTCCTTGCTCTCTCTGGCAAAGCCAGCTGCATCCAGGGAGTCGCGGCCCTGTGGACGCACACCTCCCGTCGTGCGCTCACCCGTGGGAACCTCCAGAACGGATTATTTTGGGCTGTGGAAAGTCCCAGCAAAAGTTTCCAGCTGCTGCCCTTGGATGCCACCGTGGGGACTCAGGAGGTCCCTCTGCAAGTGCCTGAACGTCCTGGCCCGTCGGGGTGGGTTAATGGCCCAGCCGGCCCCTGGGGTCGTCCCCGGCTGCTGCCCAGCGTGGTGAGCGCTCCGCCATGTGCGTGGCGAGCGCTCTGCCGTGTGCCGGCCCGTCACGCCTGCCTCTCAGCTGCCGTGGGTTGCACCCGCGCTTTGCAGAGCAGTGTGGGG